CTATTAGTTTCTATGGAGGCTGTGAGCTGTTGTCCTTTTAGACGCCATTTTTGCTCCTCCATGCAGTTACAGGCACTACCAGTGGACGGTACGGGCGGGGCTCAGTCCAGTGATCTATATATATAAGTCTATGGTCTGTACTTACTGGCCTCAGCCTACTTCATACTCACCTCTTCCTACGTTTTACTCACCTTCACAGTTTTATGATTTAATCTACTGTAGAAGTGTTATAAATACATTTTTGTCATTTGGTGCAAGCTTATTTAACCTCTGACCCCTGGCTTAAAAACTTATTTTAATTAACCCAAGACACAGGCACTTTATGCAATAGTGAACAATGGGTATAAACAGCACCCACTAAGTACAAGATGAGGCTAACAAGTGCCAAATGAATCAGCACTTGCCATCTATCCCATAGCTCCAAATTGCAACCTTTATCCGACTTTAAAATTAAAACTGTTTACCAAAAATCCATAGCCTTTGCTCCCTTTATCTRTGGAGAAGTGATAGACACCTGATGTAGTTTCAGTAATGCCATCAATATCCCTAAASATTCTCTAACAGATTTCTGTTTTCCACAGTATGTTCAGCTCCCTGCCTCTGATTTAACCCAGCGCCATGGAGGGTGAAAGGAGCAACGAAGGCGACGGGTTTGGTGGAGATTCAGAGGTTGAGGATGAGTTTGCTTGTGCTGGGATGCTGCGGGGTTCTCTGACGTCCCTGCACAGTACCGTGGAGAGGATATTCAGGGTGACGTTTGGAATTGGGACGGACGACTTGCCTCATGGTAACAGCGGTCAGATATGGCTGAAGCTACGGGGATCGAGCAGCAGCGTGAAAGCAGCCAAAGTAAGGCATAGTTCCCTGGTTTTTAAAGTTCAGCACTTACTAGCAGAAACCTTTAAAAGAGACTAACCTTTTGCTTTGTTGCATTAAAGTGTTGGCTGGTCAGTTTATCTGAAGGACCTGGGCTGCCTAGTGTCTTCTTGACTTGTTCTTGTAAACTCTATTTTTTTCCATAGCACCCAGCCTCTCACTGTGAGAAGTGGGGAAAAAGCTGGACAGGTGGATGTAGCCAAATGCCAATGCTCATTTAATGAGCCTTTGTCATAGTAGTGTCAGTGGATTAGCATGTCATAAAATATATTTTCTGTGGTACAATCAACATCAGTACTACTATGGCTACGTTCACACTGCAGGTCTTAATGC